ATGCTTGGTCACATTGTTGAAGGTAAAAAAACTTTATTGTGTGTTAGGTTTATTTTCATGTGTTCCCATCTAGTTGGGAAGCACCCTATCATAATTTATACTTGTTTGTCAGAAAGAATATGCCCTGCTTGCTTTAATTCTCTTATTATGTTTGACAACTCACTAAAGTCTTGCCCAATTAAAATATTAAGCTTTAGCTTATTCATGTTGAACTTATTGGTGAGCTTCCTTAGCTTTATGGTAGAGGTTCCACAAAATCAATCTTTTCAAGGCTATCCTCATGTTCTGAGTAGTTAAGTTGCACACAAACTCACATATGATATGATCATCCATTGCATATAATGTTGTGATGTGAACGATATTGTTCTTTTCCTTTCACGAAGCACAAACTTCCTGTTCCTCTCAATTTGCAAATTCTAGTTTCAAGATCACAGTTGTCAGGACATCCAAGACATATTGTTGTTACTGAACATAGGAGATTTTATGATATCATATATCATAGTTAATTTATGCAAATTCTAACGTGTATAATTAATATATTTTTATCTAATCAAATCAAGATATGTGGATTTTAATGTGTTACTAATATTAATAGCAAAAATTTGTTATAGAATAAATAATCTATAAAAGATACATATGTTTAATTTAATTAGAGACAAGTATGCATTTTAAGTGTATAAGGCTAAGTATATATAAATTTTTCCCTTTAGAAATAGGGCATGCGTGCATGCACGTGTTTGGAATATCAAAATAAATTTAGTTAATGAGTACATATATTGTGTTTGTGTGTGTGTGTCTTTTGTTTTTCATTTTTGTAACTAGATGTTGTTACTAGTTATTAGCAATAGCAACATCAAGAACAGTTTGACCATATTTATTGACAACCATTGTGTCTACTCGTAGATGTCATCTTTCTATAGAAAGGGATGAAAACAAAAGTTGCCTTGTTTGGGAGCAAGACAGGCAAGAGATGAAACGATATGTTCCCATCATCATCTTTCTCATTGTACATGTTGCTTAGTGGTACAAGCGCATCATGCAAAATCTTTGTTTTGATTGAAAACAGAAAAAGCTTTTCTTTGTTGTAGTGTCACAAAGAGCATTCACTACTACAAAAAAGGGAATAAATGACGGTTATTTTAGTCTATAAACGACGGTTAATATCTTTCATTTATTCAGCTGACATTTAAAGACCCCCAATAAATGACGGTTATAAAATCCTCATTTAAAATAAAATTTTTACGAAGGGATAAGCAAATTGAGAATTTAAATGACGGGTAAATTATATACCCGTCATTTAAATAAAGTATAAATGATGGGTATATAACTTATTCATCATTTAAATAAAGTATAAATGATGGGTAAGTTAATATACCCGTCATTTAAATAAAGTATAAATGATGGGTATATAACTTATCCATCATTTAAATAAAGTATAAATGATGGGTATATAACTTACCCGTCATTTAAAGAGACTTTAAATGACGATTAAGTTACATACCCATCATTTATAATTACTTTAAATGACGAGTATATAATTTACCTGTCATTTATATTGACTTTAAATGACGGGTAAATGAGATACCCGTCATTTAAAGTCAGTATAAATGATGGGCATTTTTTTAACCGTCATTTATTTCAGTATAAATGACGGTTATTTATATAGCCGTTATTTTTATGTGGTTTTTTTCAATTCGTGAGCTGTTTTTATACCAGCCCCCTTGCAAAAAGAAATCAAAATAGCAGCAGCCAACCATTCCAGATTTTAATACCAACAAAATTTATTGTATTCAATTTCAAAATTAATCAATAAACAAATGTAATTACATAAAGTAACCTTTTTCCAAAAATAAACTGCCTATTAAAAAAAACTTCCTAGCTACTTCTTCAAGATAGTTCTATTAATCTTCTTTGTATGAAGTCCACACTTGAAAATATATTGACACCATTCTTCAATTACCTCATTTGCTTCTGCATCCCCAAATTCTTCAATATAAGAATTATCATAGTACTGCAATATATAAATGATTCAACATATATTAATATAATTTTGATACATTGAATATTTTTGTAATTTAAAAGTTAATATTTTTGACATACCATCTCGGGAATTATGCTCTCGTTATGGATAATGATATCCTTCATGAACCTCATGACGCAATAGCCACAATCCGAGTTATTTTTCTTTTGTCTTGGACACTAAAAATTAAAGAATATATAAATATGTATTAATGCATTAAATTTTAATTTAATAAATGATTTCATTACCTTAATTATATTCCAAGTGTAGGCCGCATCAAAATTTGTAAAGGACCTTGAAATTGATTGTTTTGTGTTAGTGTGGTATAACACAATCGCCCTAATGAAACAATAAAAAATATGTTAGTATGAAATTTAAATAATTTAAATCTTAGATGCACTAATTTGCTTCAAAAGACCACATCTTACACAAGGGCACACTATTCTTCTAGGGTCTTTTACATGCTTAAGAGCAAACTTCATAAACTCTTTCACACCATTCAAATACTCTTTACTTAATCGATTGGAAGACATCCATTCTCTATCCATAACTTTATAATCTAAAAGATAATTCATTCAAAGAAATGTGATGAGTGACTTATGAATATAGAGATAAGAAAGGAATGATAGAAAGATTATCAATAAAGAAATTGACTACTCTACATATAATATAGAGCAATTAATGAATCATGAGTCACAATGCATAAGCATTCACATTCTCCTTCAACCGCCGATAAAAAATTCGGCAACATAACAACATAAAGAAAGTATTTCTCAGGCTAAAACCCTCTTTTCATTCTTGACATCTTACTCAACAAACTAATTCCAACTATATACAATCAAAAACTAATGAAATTCTCACAAAATAACATTTTCAAATTAACTCTAATTATTATAAAATTATATATAAAATTCGTTCAAAATTCATAGAAAAAAGAAAAACACTATAAACATCATTTTAAATTAATGTTTTCTGTCTCATTGATCATTCTAAGATTACACATATCTTATATTAGCAATCTCAAGCCAAGAACAAATCATTCTTTACCAAATGTAAAAAGTTCAATAAAATAGCAATGATTTTTACATAAACAGCGCGTCAGTTTTCGTCACTAAAATGAACTCCAATTGTAATGAAAACTGGTACACTAGTACATTTCAATATATAGTTTTGAACGATAAAACTACTCTAATCAAACAATGCACGAAATTTAAATTAAAAATTATTGAAATAAATCAGTCAAAATTTGTAGAAAATTACAATCATCACAAATATCCCATTTTGATCATTAATTTTCATCTTAATAATCATCCTAAGGCAAAGCAAACCATCTACAATCATTCTCAAGTCAATAAAACACCAAACATTAACAATTTTCAACAACCCACAATCTTAAAATGGGCAAAACATGAGGATATATTTAAACAACAAAAATGAACCAATAAAACAATCCATAATCTCAAATAAATCAAGTCCATAATCTAGAAATCTAAGTATATTGGAAGAAAATGAAGAAAAACCATAGAAATCACAAACCCATGTACCTTAGAGAAGAAAGGATGAAACACAAAGAGGAAGCCAATGAGAGAGGAACCGGACGGTGTAGGAGGAGTACTTTCACACCGGCGAGGGACTACAGTGGTCGACGGCAAGAATGAAGGCTGATTGAGAAATTTCTATCAATTTCTTGTAGAAGAGGAGAAGAGAGAAAACAGGGACGATGAACGGGTGGGAATGAAAAAATGAACCAAAAAACAAAAATAAAAAGGGAATAAATGATGGGTATTTATATATATGATGGGTGTTTTAACACCCGTCATATATAAAGAAGGCTTTAAATGACAGTTGTTTAAAACAACCGTCATTTAAAGCATAACATTTTTTTAGTTTTTTTTGAATGAGGAAAATCAAACATTGGCCACGAATATATGATGGGCGTTTGAAAACCCCGTCATATATAGTTCTGGACTTTAAATGACAAGTGTTTTAAACACCTGTCATTTAAAGTTTTAAAACTATTTATTTTTTTATTTTAAGAATCTGAAACGGCGGGCACAAATATATGACGGTTTTTTCTATAACCGTCAGATATTGTTTAAACTTTATATGATGGGTTTTTAAAATACCCGTCATTTAAAGTTCAAATTTATTTTTATTTTTTTCTTTCAGTAGATTAAATATTTGGCTGAAATAAATGACAGGATTTTTTAATACCTGTCATTTAAAGTCTTGTAATATATGACGGTTTTTTTTAAGGCCCGTCATTTATTTAGTCACCATCACCTGCCTATCTCATATATGACGTATTTTTATTTGACCGTCATTTTTTATGGCATTTTATATTTATGTTTTTGTAGTAGTGATTAGAGCCATTTTCATCCACCAATTTGCAGCAATCTGAACAATGTTCTCTTGTCTTTTTCAATACACCCTCATTTCCCGGTATGCATGCTGCAAACTGAAGAGCAGTCCTTCCCTTATATGCTTTCTCACATCAAATCAAACACCACCCATTTCATTTAATAATTATATGCTTTCTGACATGAACACTCTTTAAATTTGAAGTGCTAATAAAAAGCATAATTAACTATCATATATTATTTTTTATGGAAATTTTATATAGTGACAACAACATTTCTATTAAATTATTTTTAAGTGTGCTAGTTATATTCTCAATGTTGTTGCATGCCATGGAAATAAGACATATTGGATATACAAATTAAAATGTAATTATTATATACAAGACAAATTGAAAAATCATACAATAAAATACCTCTGTAACCGTGAAGGACTGCGGCAAACATGAGATAATACAATTGCAAAATCTTAAATAAACAATATACTAATTATATTTAACGGAAGAATAGTTTGAGAAAATTCCCTGATTAAAACTGGAGCATTTTGTATTGTCAATTACGACACACATTGACAAGGAAATAAATGAAGTTAAACTAATAAAAAGAATTACATTAACAAGGACTTAGAGAGCATCAGACAATTGAATGTCTCTTAGTTTCAAAAAATCGTAACCAGGGAGATAGATTTGTCGATTTCTCATAGTGACTATTGCTCTCCAAGAGAATCCAATAAAGATGACGAAAAAGGACAATACAATCAAAAGACTGCGAACACCAAAACCTGTGGAAACACCTAGCACAGCATACACTTCCGTCCCAAATGCTAGTATCATGAATCCCGTTGCCTCCATTGTTAAACGCTTACAGTCTCTCAACACCAATGCATACACCTTCTTCTTCCATCTTAAAAGTGACGACAAAAAAAGAACAAGAACAGTACAAACAGAGAGAACAAATGAGAGGCAGTCCGTTATAACAAATGCTATAAAAGCCGCATTATACTTCAAAATGGGAGAGCCCTGATGTTTTCCCTCTTGTATCAGTCCTCCAGGCAGCGTAAATCCTGCTGCAAATGTTACTGTTGCAATTAATATTGCCACTACGGCGTTGGTTGATGCCATTACATCATAATCATCTCGATAATCTTTCTTATGTTGTTCCTTCTTTTTATCAACAGCTTCATCATGTCTCTTCTCTACTTCCTTCTTTCTAACATGTTTATTTATAACTCGTCCACCCACCTTGATCCAATATCGTGCAATTTCATTAATAAGTTATTCTGAATGCACCATGTAATAGATAATTCTTTCATTTTGATTCTAAAGAGATGAATGAATAAGTTGCTTTCACCAATTCAATTACACAGATTAAACCTCATCAAACCATAGTGCAGGACCTTTTAAAAAGTACTTCTTCCAATTCAAAATATAAGCAATTTTTAAGAAAAAATTATATACCAATAAGGTCCCCATTTTTATAAAAATATTATTTTTCCTTTTTACCCTTAGTCCCAATTACTAATGTACTTCATAATGAGTGAGGGATAAATTTATACAAAATCTAGGTTAATAAATATAAGGGTAAAATGGGAAAAAAATTATATGTACCAAGTTACTTATATTTTGAACTAAGATTAGTTGGAAGAAAACGCTTATATTTTGGATTGGAGGGAGTATTTTGAAAGAGGACAAGGACGCATGCATACATATGTTAGGAATATCAAAATAAATGTTGTCAATGAACTCATATATTTAATCCGTGTGTGTGTGAGAGAGATTTTTGATTTTACTAACTAGATGTTGTTACTGGTTACCTTTTTTGTCTTAACTCTTGAGGCACATTAGCAACAGCACATCGAGAATAGTTTGACCGTATCTATTGCATGCCATTGTGTCCACTCTTGGATGTCGTCTTTCTAGTAAAGGATCACAAGAAAATTCTCTGCCAGCATATATGGGAGCAAGATGGGCAAGGATGTGAAGGGGGATGTTGCCATCATCATCTTTCTCATTGTACATGCTGCTTACTAGTGGTGCATCTTGTAGAATCCTATCTTCCATAGTAGTATAGTGAATGGAATTGGAGCCCTTGTCATCCACCAACTCATAGCAATCTGGACAGTTTTCTATTATCGTTTTCGTTACTTCTTCCATTTTAAAAGGATCTGTACGAAGTGCTGCAATGTTAAGAGCCGTCCTTCCCTTGTTGTCTCTCATATATGCTGTACTGCTATCATTCCTTAGCAACACCTCTACCATACTTGAACTTGAACAAAGTGCTGCCAAGTGAAGTGGCACCCAACCATTTTCATCTTCTTGTTTTGCTGCTGATAAGTTTCTTGTCAACAACTACAACACTATTCCTGTAACACATGAAAGCAAATCAAACAAGATCCATTTCATCTAAAAATTATCTACTACTTTCATATGAACCCTCTTAAAATTTGAATCGCTAATTAAAACATAGTTATCATTCCTTGGTTTGTGTAGAAATTTTATTTAGTGACTACATCCTTTTTTGGTAGAGTTGGTTCAAATTTGACTACTCCCTTCTGGTTCAAATTTTATTTAGTTTATTTAGTGACTACGCCATTTTCATCAAATAAAATTTGAATCGTTAATAGTGTTGATTCAAATTCAAATTCAAGTCTAGTTCATCATGCATCAAAACACAACATATTTCAAAAACTTTATATGACTAAGCTTGTTATTTCATTTTTTTCTAAAAAAATATCATAAGCTTGCTAAATGATTGTCATGGTTACGTTGTTGTTGTTTAATGCTTAGGAAATCGGATGTATTGGATATACAAATCAAAATTTAATGATGGTATATGGTACATTTGTCGTTAACGCGAAGGACATGCAAAGCAGTTCTGCCATTGGGGCCATTATATTGTGGTGAGTTGCTGTTATCCAATATTGCATTGACCACGTTCCAATATTGTCTTTCAACAGAAATATAATGTGGAGCTTCATCATCAACATTTTTACCCTAATATGAATGTTCTGGTTCTTCTTTTATCGAGACTTCTACTACTTCTGTGTGACCATAACGAGCTGCTTCATGTAAAGCCGTTTCCTTCTTATAATTTATTGCTCTCACAAGTCTTTTCTCCACTCCAACTTCACTGATATGATCTTTAGGGACTACTTTAGCACAATCAATTATTTTTTTCACTATTTTATGATGTCCATACCTTGCTGCTATATGAAGTATGGTTTCCTCCTTCACATTGGTCTTCAAAAAAAGTGCAGGACACATACCTAGAACCTCTTCCACAAATATTTCTGATACATCGTTACTGTTGTTGTTTATGAGGTGTACATGAAGGATTGTGTTTTTATTTGGGGTCAGTATGTTCTCAATTTGCTCACCATCCTTTCCTCTAAACGCATCGATGTTACCTTTCATCGCGGCTTTGTGAAACTCACGTTTCATGCTTGTGATGATTCCGGGGGCGTTTGTATTGCTGGTGGTAGCAATATCGGTTGTTATCTCCATTCCCCAATTCCTTTATCAATCAAAACTGTTTATAAAATCCATCAGAAAACAAAAATTTTGAATTTTAGTTATTTGAGACAGTATTATTTGTCGAGATCTTTATTTTCATAAACACTAAAATAATAGACACAAGTTATGATAAGTATAAATGAAAAATTTGGCTTGTGACCCCCTAGTTTATACCTATATATATTACTATCAAGACAGCAAATATAATTAGAAGGATTAGAACTCAAGAGATGAAATTAACTGGCGAGAATTAGAACTCAAGTTACCTTCGACAATTAGTTTACAAAAAAAAAAAAAACAAGATAAAAGAATTCAAAAATTACAATAAATGACCAATAAGTCATCATAGAAAACCCAAAATTTATAAACATGGGCTCAAAAAATACAAAAAAGAAGCAAGAAAATTTTATTGGTCCTTTTTTTATATAATTTTAAAACCATTTGTTGTCATTTTTCTGGTCAATTAATGCTCAAACCATTTTTCAAAGTTGAAAGGAAAATTTACACAAAAAATGAGTTTATAGAGTCCTAGATGCTTTTGAATCTATAATTTATGGGTCAATTTACTATTTTACCCAGTTATTAACTATAAATGTAATTCCCATAATGTTTTTTTTTGAATAAAATTTTTTAGAAATAGAAATAAAGATATAAATCACTCAGCCCTTGAACTTTAACTCATTATAACTTATTTTTTATAATTGTAACTATATTGAAATTTAATCTCTAAAGTTTGACTTGCTGCAACTTAGTCCTATATTTTTAACTATTATTAGTCCCTATATTTTAAAAAATAAAAAATCATAGAGATTATCTTTACAAAGATTAAAACTTTTGGAAATTCAAAATATTAGTCCATAAATTTCAGAATAATTTTAATCTTCATATTTTGGGTCAAATAAAAACATCAAAACATAAATAAACAAAATTTTGGGTCAACACAGACAAAAGCTAATTAACGACACAAATAAAAATATAAAATTAACATCATTTTGGGTCATAGCCTCATTGGCAATTGTTTTTTATTTTTTTAATAATGAAAAACCAATTATGATCAGTTTTCCATAGATTTTTACTGGCTCGTTCTTTTGCCAGTTATGGCATTGCCACGGACCAGACATTGGCTCCCGGTCAAATTAAACTGGCCAGCCTGAACGAATTCGAACAACTTTGATATACTTGTACAAAGAGAAGTTACAATTTCTTCTAAGCAACATTGATATAGTAAGACACAAACTACGTCAAAGTTCAGACCAAAACAAGGATCAATGCATAAAAAGTGATGTTAAACACGTACCTCAAATCTCAAAGGTAGCAGCTCACGTAAGCTTATAAAATGGTAGAAGTGAACGACTCTTTGCTGCTACTTTATTAGATATATATAAAATTAAATTTGTGGGAAAGGTTTGAGTGAGGGAGATAGTTCAATATGAAGGAGTGAAGTGATTGTGACGACGGACACAATTTCCTCCAGATGTATGCGTGAAAGGATCATAATGTGTGTGTGTGTGTGTAAATTACATTTGGTTTATAACCAAAAAGACACACACTTCGATCAAAATCACTAAAGATAGAAAACATAAGATATGGATGGGCCACTACCGTTAGGTTATTTTACTATATTCCCTTCTCTTTTTTATTTTTTGACCGGAAAATCCTTTTCTCTTGCCAAGGATATTTGGCCACCTTTAATAAGCTTTTTCTTTTATTTTTGGGCAAATCACATCCAGACCCACTTACGAGAATTAATCAAAGATAAAAATTAATATAGAATAGATTGTTGTTAAAATAAAAATATAACTTATTTTTTTTCAAATAAAATTTATTACTAGCCTTTATCTATAATTAATTTTTTTAAGAGGGACTGAATGTGATTTTTTCTTTATTTATTCTTTCTTTTGACAGGAGAAAAGCTTTTTCATTACTTGCCAAAGATTTTACCACATTTGACAATGACATTGCTCATATCATCACGAATCTCTAGACACAGCTTTGTTATACTTTAGCGGTCCTAGCCACAAACATATATTAATTAAGAGATGACAAATATTTCCTCAAGCTTTTTTTTTTTTTTAAAGCTTCACACTATTATAGAAATAAGCTTTGACGGTGTTTAAAATTTTAATTTCAAAATATTTATAAAACATTATAAAATTTAATGTTATATTAAATCTTAAGTGTCGTTTAATTAATTAATAAAACATCAGAAGAAGCAAGAGCGGTTACTTAGTCTTAGAAAATAGAATGAAAGAAAGGTGGTGTTTCCTCTTTACTTAATTTTTTAAAAAAATAAAAGGAGATATTTGGCATTTCCTACCACTTATCTCCTTTTATTTTTTGAAAAAGATTCGAAAGAATCACTTTTTTAATATATATATATATATATAATCATATCATATATATCCATTAATTTATATACATATTTTTTTAGTCAATATACAATAAAATTTATTCATACAACTAACAAAAATAAATAATCAATTTTATACTATATAAAACTATGATAAATTTAGCAAGGTCGTAACAAATCAAGGATAAAGAAAAAACATAAATTAAATATTAGCTAAGAGATATAATAAGGTTTATCAATAATAAACACTAAATTTGGAAAAAAATTATGACTAATGTTTAATGAAGACTAAATATAGAATAACTAAATCAATTTATACAAACTATGAACAAAAGACAAGCTATCATTTGGTTACACAAGTGTTGGCTATCATTCAACATTAAATAGATACATATAAAAAAGAACGGGGCAGATTCTAAGTTAGAAATAAGTTTCTTCCTCAATGATTAATAGAGATTATAATCACTACCTTCTTAAAGGTCCAAAACTTTACAAAACCAAGCCGTTTATTACTTAAAACACAAAGATTGAAGATTCCACTATCTGTTCCTTAGATCTCAATAAATTTTTATACCTAGAGAATTGTTTAACCAACATATATGCTTATTAGCAAATTAAAAGAACAAACCATTCAAGATTATGAAAATAAAAATTATCAACTGAAGAGAAACAAAAGCAAAAATGTGAAGATTCATATAAATATAAATAGATAGGAAGACAAGAGGTGAGAAAAATGAATAAAAGGAACTAGTTATAGCATACTCATACAAGTGACTTTAACAAGAGAAGACGACGAGAGCAAGTTCAAAAATCAGAGAATAGATAACTCATGAGTTACAAAAGAAAAGAGCAAGCAACTGGATGGAGAAAATGACCAAGATAAGAAGATTAGGGTTTGGAAATTTTAAAAATAGTTAAAAACTATCTCCATTTTTTAAAAATAATTAAAAAATCATAGCGGTGGCGTTTCTTCAATAACAATTACATAAGATAAAAAAATGATAAATCAATAATAGGGCAGAGAGGTGGTGTTTCCAAGCCCATGAAACGCCACCTCTTTGCTTTTTAATTATTAAATAATATAAATTAATAATTAATATTAATTAAATAAATTATAATAAAATAATATTTTATCTTATAGAAAATAATTAAATATTGAAAAAAGAAGAGAGGTGGCAACCTCTCTTCATTTGTTTATTAAATATTATTATATATTAATTATAAATACTAAATAACTAAATTATAATAAAATAATTATTGAATATGATAAAACAAAATTTTAAACCAATAATTCTTCTTTCAATATTTAATTATTTTTTATAAGATAAAATATTTTTTTATAATTTATTTATTTAATATTAATTATTAATATATATTATTATTTAATAATTAAAAAGTAGAAAGGTGACGTTTCATATAATATCCACCTTAACTAATCACAATTATAACTTTAAATCCATGCTAATCAAGAGACTAACTAATAAAGAGATCAATAAGTTAATGTTTCAAAATAAAGGAATTCCAAGTTTTCATAATGTTAATTGAGTTAAATCCATTCATTAACTCTTTAATCAAAGCAAAATTAAGTTACGGAAGCATGGGATACCTTTGAGGAGTGAAAGAAATTGAAAACAATTGAAAAACATCTTGTTTGCTGAAAAACAGAGTAATGAGCCAATGCTTGTGCACATTACGTTTTGACTTATCATTCTTTGTGCCATGTGCCGTGGTATAGGCACCAATGCATGGCGGTATGTTGTACACAAATGACAATAAATTCTGCTGTTATTTGATAGCAAAATTAGGCAATTTTTGAAGTGTCCCATTTCTTTGTCCGACATTCAAATGACATGACTTAGGTGTCTACGGGAAGCTCTTCTCATAAACTAGCTAATGGCACGGGTTTCACTTCCAAATAAGTTACACTAGGATGTTGCACACTAAAGCACATTTTACCACTTTTTCTCAAATTTCACACGTAAATACCAAAGGCCCTTCCTAACACCCAGACCATATTCATTGGACCTAAGACTACTTGTATAACACACCACATGTACAATTACATTAATATATCATAATTTTACTCCTCAACCCCTTTAATACCAAAAATAAAAAGGGGAGGAAATTTCATTACATTGCATTCAAAATCAATCATAACATGCTTGAAACAACTTTACTACATTTGCACTAGTATTTTGGCCCTACTAACATTTACAACTTTTCATAAACTATAACTTAGGACCTAAAATATAAACCAAACATCCTAAACAACAATATAGTACAAGTCGGTCTCTCCCATTATAGTGTTGTATTAACCTTATGTGGATCCACTACTATGCCATCAGTAGAAACAACATGACCAAGAAATTTCACTTCTCATAGCCAAAATTCGCATTAACTCAACCTGGCATATAACTTGTGCTCTTTCAACACTTGCAGCACCATTCTAAGTGTTTTACATGTTCTTCTTCATCTCTAGAGTATATTAAGATGTCATTAATAAAAACCACTACAAATTTATCTAAGTAGGCTCTGAAGATCTTGTTCATATAATCCATGAAAATTGCAGCTGCATCCATCAAACTATAGTATATTACTAGGAACTTATAGTGCCCGTATCTCATTCTGAATGCAGTCTCAT